AGGCCAAAATCCTAAGTTGGGGGTGTGGCGAAAAGGAGAAGGAGGAGTCAAGAAGTACAAAAAAGTCTTCCTTAACCCATGGTGGTGCGGGAAAATGGAAACCCTCCATATAAAAAAAACAGAAAGGAGAAAGGAAAGAAAGAAAAGAAAACAAAATAATGAAAAATAAAAAGTTATGGAATAAAAGCACAAAAAAATTGGTTTTCCACGCAATCCATAAAGGAGAATAAAAGATGAATTAGAAGCACTTGAAAAAAAATTGATAGAAGGAGGATAACGAAATGTCTTGAGAATACCACATCTTAGAGAAAAATTCAATAATCCTAACTGACCATACCTTTGCACTCAGCCCCATTACAAAGCGTTAGAAAGACCTTCGTATCTTAATTGAGCTGGACCAAAGATCGATCTGAAAAGAAGGGGAAACCTGTGGGTAAAAACATGCATTGTGTTCCTATTTGTGAGTGTGAGTGTTGCATCTGATTCCTAATATTTAAATTGATTAAACCTTGTGTGTGAATATGGAATCATTCTTTGTGTGAGGGCATGTATACTTTTGTTGAGCTTGAACTTGCATGAGCAGTAAGTGTTGCAAGCACAAGAATCTTTGGTAATAGTGTTTCACAACTTGAATCTTTGAGTATACTATCAATCTTTGCATAAGTAATTTGAATCTTGTTGTGTATGTTCATGATTAAGTCTTGTGTAGCGCTACTTGGGACATCCTATTTGAACTGCTGAACTTGAGTTTTACTTGAGAACAAACAAAAATCTATGTTATGGGTGTTGATTAGTCCTCAGGTTTGACTCATTTCGGGCCTTATTTAATGAAAATAGTGTTCTCAAATGCTCACTCTATCTCAATATATAATAAAAACTCCTAAGATTCAGGTATTTGAAGTTTTTTGTATGAACATGGACACTTAGGAACAAAACGGGAACAAAAAGGATGAATTAAGCCGAAGTTGAAGCATGATCATCGCCAAGTATACTTGCATATCAACCAAAAGGATGCATTTCACCCTTTGTCCCAGCAAGCGAAGCCCTGAGGGAAGTGGATCAAAAAGGGGACGAAAGGAGCAGTCAGGCGCTTCGTCTAGTAGCTTCGCGAAGTAGAATTATTCCGCCCAATGATCTAGAACACATAGACCACGAATGCAGAGCACAAAAGGCGATGATCTAGAAAGAAGGGTAAATCAACGAATCACTCAGCGTTCGCGACTAGTCTCGCTTGACGAATTCGGCATCACAAATTCTGATGTCTATAAATACTAAACTCTTTATTATAATTAGAGAGAGGAGAAAATAGAGACATATTTTTTTGTAATTTTGAGACTTAGTTCTTAAGTTTAATAATTTTCTCTCATGTTTGGAGAGGGTTTTGTGGGACCTTGAATAAAGGAGCTCTTCCTCGTCAAATCGGAAGTGGGTCTTGTTCATTCTTCTTCCTTTGTTCATATTACGGTTTAATTTCTTATACCCATTTGAGTTACTTATCATTTTTGGTGTATTTGGTTATTGCTTAATATGTGTCTAAACACCCATTCTTAGGATCTAATGTAGCAAATATGTGTTGATATTATTGTAGGGTCATGTTTGCTGATAGGTTAGATGCATTTTAGTGATGATTTCACCTCGTGGTTGTGGTTTAAATTAATGGGTTTGTAGTTGCAAATACAAAACCACGCATATGTTTTTGGCTTGGTCGAGAGAGATGTCGCGAAACCAAGACCGCTAGACTGTTGTTTTAAGGAGTGGGGCGACATGAGGTTCAACCCAAGAGGGTGAACCCTAGTCCCGTATCCTAGCACCCATCAATAAAAGAGCAGGTGTGGGTAAGACGTAGGCTGGTATTCATTAGACTAGTGGGTGTCCAAGAGGAACCCATTTGATATGGGATAAGTTTCCTAAGAGGGAATTTACTTTCACCTAAAGCTTAGCATAGTCATTATTATCTTGCAAATTTCCTATCAAAAGCATGTACCCAATGGTTTACTTCAGCATATATTACGTTCATACCCCAAGGACTTCTCCTTATACTTGATTCTAGTTTGTTTTTACTGTTTTTATTACTTATGACAAACCCTTTTGATATTTGACACTTCGATGCCACAAAATAAATTTACTTTGTATTGATGCGATAATTTCTTAAACTACTACTAACTAGAATGAAAAATCTAGTTTAGCTATTATTTTCACTACCGCTCCCTTGGACACGACCCCAACCCTTGGTTAGGTAACTATACTCATTTCGATTCGTAAACACTCAGATTGTAGTCTAGTGTCGTTGATCACAATATCAAAAGAACCATCAAGCATCCAAGTACATGTATATTTCCCTCCAACAACTATTTCAGACAACAATATGCATACATTCACAGTTTCAAGCTATAACTCATAGACTAGTCATAATTCATTAATTAATTTGCTCCATGGATGACCATTATTGATCATCCATGAAATTTTATATAACCTCAAAGGACAAATACCGATAATATCCTTCTCAGTTTAAATTTACCTTGATTGTGTCCCTTCATTCGTGACATCGACGTCTAATTCACTTTGTTAAGATACTAATTGGAATCAAGAGATACCAATTGGACTCAACTCATGCCACAAGCGATGAATCGAATGAAAGGAGAGAAGAAATGGAAAGACTTTCTAGAATGCTTCATAGCTTCCTGAAGATTATATGTGGACGTCAACACACCATTTACAGTTCATTCATTAATGAGATATAAAAAGTAACACTACATGATAAACACATATATACACATAGATTATGATCTTAGGGATAATTCGTAATTCCACGTTATCACAACAAGTAGATGTGGAAATTCAATGTTCCTTTCATAGAATCTACACCCACACTATTAGTGCCTTAGAAGGTGACAGCCGATCCAATGCATGTTAGTATGTCAGAATCATGATGCCCAATCCATTGCATGTATATATGTCGATACATGAAACACAATCCAATATATGTTAGTGTGTCGGAACGTGACACCCGATCCAATGCGTGTATACATGGTGAAATTGTAAAACCCGATCCAGTCAGTAAAATCAGAATACCCATAATGAACATACTCATAATCATACAATCAGATGCTGAATATGGCATACATTTGTTCATTCATACTCATTTCATTAAGTTTTATCAACAAGGCTTCATTCACATACAATCTTGCATTATAATAAAGAAATTACCAATATACATCACGCAAAACATGAAACCAAACCATCACCTACTCCTACATTGTAATCCTGATGGAACAACCAAAATTACATGTATGACTACCCCTTTATCGGTGCACTAAAGCTTAAACTAAATTCTACAATCAATTAGCAATAAACTACAAAGTGAATATTTACAAATATGCAGTAACAAACCTAGCCTACCTAAATGCCAAGCAGCTTCACGAGATTATAGCTCCAATTATGGGTTTTGGATGACAAGAGCAAGTTATTATACTACAAAACACTCTCTCTCCTTCCTTCCATATCCTAGAGAAGCCCTTTTTGAGGGGTTTTTGGGCAATCCTCACCACTTTCTGGTGTTTGGGGAAAGGGAGAAAATAAGGTTACGCGTCATATAATTTCTTTTTTTGACTATCCCCTTTTGGTGCGAACAATCCCATCGGAGCGTCGTTGCCCTAGCAACATCTGGCCCACTCTGGCAGGATGATTGGCCCAAATGTTTCCCAATGTTTTGTCTTTCCTAATAAACGACGATTAAGATCATTATAAATATTGATTAATTAGTTACATTACTTGTGTTATAATTCAATTTGAGATCATGACCGATGTTAAATGGTGGGATAGTAAAACTAACAAAGATAAAAATGGCGTGTACATACATGACAAAGTGTAACAAGTTGCGGTGAAACCAATGATGTATTATTTCCTAGATTTCAACGTCTCTACAATTCTTGAAAGAGTTGCCAGCGAAGAATGTCAGTAAGATTTAATTCTAATTGATCAAATATAAACAAAAAGACCAATGATCCCAACTATTAAAAATTTTACGCTAATTTTCTCGGCTCTCATGAAAAATCTTTTTAACGAAAAACTATCATAACTTCGATAAGGAATGAGTGGTTGAATGAGCTAAAAGAATAAAGTTAAAATTACCAAATATTATTTAAAGTATAAAAATAATCGAATAGAGAGATAATTTATAATTCAAACTTTCCTAAGAAGCCTGCACAATAAAAGTAAGTTAAAACTATTCAATATTTAGCTAAATTAGAAACATTCGCTTCAAATATATCATTACAATTGTATTCGATAAATATTTTTCTTTTTAAGTGTTTTTATAATTGTGGTCTCCTTATAAATACTACGAAATACTTCTCTTACTACTTAATAATTTTACGAATATAATTCATCATTTAATCAATTTTGTAAACTTGTGATATCACATGGCAGTAAAGACAAGTAGATTGATGGAGGTGGACTTGCGTGCAACTACATAAGAATAGAACCAAATGAAAAAGAATTTAGAGAGTTGTAACAATATATATATATATATATATATATATATATATATATATATAATTTATATTATTTTCTAAAGAAAACTTTGTTTATAACTTTTTTATTACAAATTATTTTAAAACTTGGTTGTATATTTTTATACAATTTTAAAAGTATTTATTGAAAAACTCTTAAGTTAGACTCAAAAAAAAATCACTCCCATCATTTCAATCTATTTATACTAATTTTCTTTTTATTTTTATTTAAAAAAAATATTTTCCCCTTATTGACAACTCTTTAACTTCAACTTGTCAAATGAAATGTTGAAGATCAAAAGAGTAAGAAACATTTTGAATATTTGATATATTTTTTATTTCAGACCATAAATTTTAAAAGTCTTGTTTTATTTTTAAAGCCTATGTTAAATTAAAATAGAATAAACAAATTAAAATAGAAAAATAGATAAATTTATATATATATATATATATATATATATATATATATATATATATATAACCTCTTCATCTCCTTTCTTCCCCCAACCTGATCCTCATCTCCTTTATTATCCCCAACATGATCTTTACCTCCTTCTATTAAATGTGGGATACTTTTTTCTTTATCTTTGAAGGACATAATTTGATCCATTCAAGAAGTTTTCTACATATAATATAGATTTTCCTCAGATCTAATTCAAAGGTCTCGATCTTTGCAAGTTCACTCAAATACCATGTCGCTTTGATGTCTTCATCATCTTTGTAGCTCCGGTAAGTTTTTATAGGAGCAGTATCGCACTTCAGGGAGAGACAAAAAGGTCCAATGTGTTACTCTAAATAGATTCCTATGATTTTTTAAATGAGTTCTCTAGAGGTTTTATTAATTTTTTCGTATGGTTAACACAAGTTACAAGATCCTGAATTTTGAGTTTCAGCTGAAGAAGGTGCATATTAATCCAATTTGTAAGACATCAATTTTATGTTTTTTATGTCTTCAGTATTATTTTTTTTGTATAAAATAATTGTTGTACATTTATGTCCTTTCTGTGCAATTTTATATTCTGAAATAATATGATATTCATTCCCTTTTCTTTGTGAAATTTTATTTTTTAAATATCGGATAAAAGTAGATATAAATGTTTGAGCTAAAAGAAAATTGATCACCCACTTCTTCACTTCCTAAGTTTTAGGGTTCTTATGTGCTTCCTCCACTTCTTCATAATCGTCCTCTAGAAAGCAAAAAAAAAACCTTCTTTCAGCGCTTTTTTAGTTTGTCTCCAAAATAACTTCAGGACATCCACTATATATGTGAGAAAACAAACAAAAAAGTTTTATCTTTACAAAGTGAAGAAGAATTTCTGAATCTGAAAAAGAAGAGGAGGTATTTATCAATCCCACTATTTTATGTCTGCACAAAATTAAATAGATAATTATATGCTGCAGAAGATTTGTTCATTGATTATTTGTGTCACATACATTGATATTGTTTTGCTATTGCGTCCGACAATCAATCACAAGGTAAAAATAGCCAGTTATAAGTTTATGAATTAGAAGCACTCTATTCATATGTATATTACAATTTATATAGTCAATTATAAGTTTATGAATTAGAAGCACTCTAATTACTATGTGAATTACATTTTATGTGGTTTACTGTTGGTGTGTGACACATACTATTGAAGCATAACAATTTTAAAGGCATATACTGAAACAACTTCTCTATTTTAATCATATATTGATGTTTTCACCCAATTTTTTAGGAAAGAGATGATGAATTGTAGTGAAAACATGGTATGGAAGTCTATCAAGTGAAACTTGCTTCTTGAACTTGGAATACAAAATTAGGATAGGAAAATGAAACTTTAGATTTGAATGAACTAAGTCAAAATCATTTTATATGAATATTGTGTGGGACTTTTTTACCGAAACTAATAGACAATTCTTCACGGGGGTTGGTATTTACAAGATCTACAACTTGTTCTTAACACTTTATTTTATTATAAAAGTTTTCAGAAAAATTTATTGTGCCTCTAAATGTGGACATTTCCTGCAATGTCTATATTATATCTTTTATATGTTATACTAGTTCTTTAATCTGCTAGTTTTTTTGATAATTTTTTTTATTTATTACCAAAAGGAATTACAAAATTTGAAAAGGAAATAAATCTACAATAACTCTGGTTCATCAACAACAATATCTTACTTCAGCCTAACTAAAGAACTCTATTATGTGCGAATTCACAGGGTAACAGATCAGAGTTCATAACCTTCTTCCACACTTGCATTTAGAGTCCCTTTTTGACAAACCTCTTGTATGATGATTTTGATTGCCAGTATTTCGCCTCTAGATCATATTTGGAATACCCTCAAGTTTATTTTCTTCCAAATGTGGTATACACATCTAACCGTTACCATTATAAATATTACTTCATTTGAGCTCTTTCTTTTCTTTGTAGTCATCCAAGAAAGTTCTTGTTGCAAGTCTTCAGAATTAAGGATAATTTATTTCCAGGTTAACACCATCATAGCAACAAAGTTATTCAAAATACAAAAGGCTTATGCTCTCCAAACTAGTAGCACATAAAGGACATTCCAAAGTTATGTGAATCCCCATCTATCAAGTTTGTCCCTTGTAGCCAATCTTCCTAATGCTGCTACTCTAAATATAAAGAGCCATTTTGGTGCTCCCAAGTATTGCATACTCGTCTTATTCATTGAACTCTAGGAAAAGGTCTTGATATTTCTCTATATAGCTTTTGAATGAAAAGTTTTGCATAGAAAGATAGTGATCATAGTTATAGACTGCAGATCCAAAGTACTTTTTTCATTTATAAGCCAATGATGCTTCAATATGCTTCAATAGTTCAATTAATATTATAAATAACAATTAAATATTATTAATAAATGATGTGAGTGATACATTGCATATTGATGATTTATGATATTTTTATTTTTTTCTTTAGTTCTCAACTGTTCATTCTTTTATATACATGTTTTTATTAAATAATGGATTCTATGTCTTTTTGACATTCTAAAATTACTTATTGTGTTTTAATGGTGTTCTGCCAATAAATGGCACCAGGTGGACGTGTCTTTAAGCAAACTACACTTACATGGGAAACTATTCAAGATACTCAATTATTGGATAAATCAATATAAGGTAATACATTTTATTATATTGATTAGTAATAAATTATTAGTTATTGGCCAAGTTGAACTTTTTACTAATGGATAGATATTGTGATCTACACCTTCGGAACTCAACGCTATTTATATAGTATGTGAAGCTTATAATAGACAAAGATGACATGAATGATTAAAAAAAACAAAAAGATGTATTAGTACCTCTTGTATATTCTCTTTGTTTTGATAATGATTTTTTTGACTTAATTTTTTGTTTCTATACAAAAAAATAAAGCAAATATTTTAGTTGTTTCAGTCTTCATACTTTTCTTCCATACGTGCAATATGATTTAGATAATAGGTGGAACTTTGAACTGACTTTAATTTTTTTTTTCCTTGGATGCTTCTACAAGAATGAAGAATGGTTGTGGCAATAGAGGTAAAGGTCATGAGAAAATGAAGAAGGCTATGAGAAGCAAGATGAAAATAGAGATCCCAACTGGTAAAGGAAGACCAACTAAACCAAATCAATCAGCAAAATTATACAATGAGTTGGGGATAATTGCTCAAAATTTTATTTTGCTTTCAAACAAGTGGAAGAAACTCTCAAGAGAGGACAAAGATTGGACACTAATTAGATGTCATGTAAGAATTCTATACTCTTTTAAACATCATGTTTGTAATTCTATTGAGTTCTTTTTATCGGATAATCCTATTATTCATCTATCTAATTTTGTTTTGCAAACTGCTAGATAATATCTAGTAGTAAGTTTTCTTATTGTCTCTTTCGATTTTGTAACAACTCAACCCGTCGTGATTGACACCCACACTAAGCATCCGTTGGGAGAACCACTACTACAACCCAAACTATGCAACTAAATTAAAACTAGACATTTAAAGATATAAAAACAGTTTTAACCAACTAAATTATTTATTAAAGAACTAGAAAATGAACTAAAACTAATGCGGTAATGCAACCCCTAGAACCTGAAAGTCATTGTACCAGAACTCTACTAACTACAAGTCCAAGAACAAGGGGTACATACAAAACTAAACAACACCTTAACAAATAGTCTGAGTCCAAAAAGAGTGGACTTAAACCCAAGAGAACTCAAGATAGCCCGGAAGAACTAGCTCACCATTGAATTCAAAACAGTCACTGAGCTTCTGAATGGGGTCTTTCTGTATCCACCGAAAGATGCCCTGTACTTAACAAGAATAAGAGCAAGTGTAGTATAAGTATAGAACCACATAGTACTAGTAGGATCACACAGCTACCCCCAATAAGTGAAACACCTACAAGTAACCACAATATTATAAAACATGCATATACTTAACATATACAATATTATCATCCCTCACATCAATAAACAATTTCACAATTCTCAACATTAGACAATTAAATAATTTTAGAGCAACATATAGATCATCATTAGATAAGAACGTAATCATTACAAGTAGATATACAATACAATTGAATCATCCTTTCACAGAACCCAATTCACTGGTCCTCTCATGGAACCCACATCTATACTATTAACTTGCTGGAACATGGAAATCGATCCATAGTTGTGCTGAAACGTGATGACTCGATCTAATATTTTTGCCAGAATGTGGGAATTTGATCCAAGTTATCTTGTCGAAACATGGAAATTTGATCCCTATTCATACACAAAAATCACAATCACAATTACATCATGAAGCTCATACAACAAGAGGTGATTCATGTCATATAATTATTCAATTATCCTCATTTACGATTACGGTGATCAATAATGCAACATTCATATATATATATATATATATATATATATACATGTATTAAACATATCACACTAACATGAAATCACAACCATCACCAACGTCAAATCCAAGCTCGAATCTCCTAAGAAACTTAAATATTCCCTTTTCGAATTCTTCCCGCTTCTTCTAGGTATACAACAATTAATATACACAAGGATGAACAATCCAAGGTCCAATTATTTGGATTATAAAAACCAGAATAACCATTGATCAATCATAGATCCAAATACCCAAATTAGGACTTTTTCCACCATAATTCTCAAATCAAAACCCTTCCCCATCTATAATAACTCAAGAGAATAGGTATGTGGATTGAAACGGATTAGGGGTGTTAAAATCTTATCATTAGCCTCAAGAATAGTGAAAAGTTGTCAAGAACTCGTCTGGGGTAGCCTCCTTAGCTCTAAAAATAAAAAAACTGACAAATAAGGTCGTACAGGGGTTTATTATCGACTTTAAGTCACGTCTAGCCCGCTACAGTGGACCCATCTCGCTACAGCAGCCCTAATCCCGCTACAGCGGCCTGCCAAAGACAAAATGTTATCGTTCACGCTAAGATCATTTTCGGGAGTTCTACTTACCCGAATTCAATTCCATAAAGTTGTACAAGTTCCTTATTATATTTGTTATTCATTCATATAATAAAATTCATAATTAGATCTATCATTCATTATCAGATTTGCCTACACCTTTATGACTCCAATTTCGTCTAAATCTGGACTATGTTAGAAATTCTAAGTAACTAACAAAAATTTTTCTAGCCCCAATGGTTTCTTCATTGACTTTTCCATAACGACGGAATCAGGTTCTTACAATAGATACCTATTCATCCATCACTTGTCCCCGAGTAATCAATTAGGAAAGACATGTCTAAGATAAAGGTAGAGTAGTACCTAAATCACTGAGCAACACGAGATACTTGTCTCTCATCTCGTTAGCTTTCGAACATGGGGATAGGAATTTCAACCGATTCCTTCTCATACAGTAGGTCTTGTTTAACAAAAATAAGTCTCACCTTGTGATATGATCTTTGTCCCTAAACCAACCAAATGAATACCTACACATCCATCCGTATATTATCTCAACGAATTCATCACAATACTCTAGTGATATTATTGTTGTATGTCAAGTTAACTAACAACAAGGCTATCCCACATAACCACCAAAATTGATCATACTCATGTATGCGACATGTTATCGATGAATCCCACACAACATCAAGACAAATCCTTTCTCACATCATAACCAGGATAATATTCTAACTCCCTACTCCCTACAATTAGAGGTAAACTTGAACCAACCAACACACACTCATAGTACTTAAACAATCATATTCCTTATCAACATCTCCATATCATAACACAAATTTCCATAAGCTTACGTTATAAAAAATGATCTTTACGCAACAATTACTCGTCGAGGGATATGTCCAAGCATACAAAGTCATCCAACAACACCATTGAAATGTTAGATTTAATAATGGTAGATTTCCTCTTAAGAATAGTAGAATTGGACCCAATGATCCCCACATTCAACCAAGAGAACAACGCATGTCCAGTACACATGATCCTCCACTAGGGATCCACCAACAAAAGTAAAAAGTTACGTAATCATCGCTAGTGTATGACACTCACGACCAAGTTCAAAAAGAAATAGATTGTCACATAAGAATTTATCAAAAAACACGCAAGGATTTCCTTGGAAGAGTCTATACCAACCATTTTCATTCACTTAACTCTACATACTCTTCACATCCTTCTGTGAAGTCAACATATTTAATACTAACACCCATCATGACCACTCTAACCATTTACTTTACTTAAACCAACACTTTTATAAATGAAAAAATTTATTAGGTACTTTAATCAATCAATAATAATAAACTTTACAACTCAACCATGTGCTTTCAATGCTCAATACCTAATATAATTGACCATGCCTCACCATGAAAATTCATACTTTGACAAAATATATCAAGAGATTTGCAGGTTTTTCAATGAAAATCTTAATTGTAAATTCAATCGTCTAACACCATCCCCTTATGTATTAACATTAGCTTATACATTTACTAATGACCTTAAGTCACTTTTGGTACGCCACAACGGTGCACATCCCATCACAGCGGCAGCGCCAGTGCGACTAGAATGCCCGCTAAAGTGGAATTATCGAACTAGTGGGCTACTCGTCTTTCATATAAAATTTTAAGTCCTATAGTGCGTGTCAGATTGACCACCTTCCCGCTGCAGTGGCCCTGCTAGAGCGACAATTATCTCGCTAAAGCAATCCAGACGGAACCAGAGAGCTATTCCAAAAATCTCTAGAATCCCATTTCACAACACTCCCCAAACTAATGACACTATGAAAATTTTCTTCGCGCTAAGGTCGATTCCTGGAAATCTACTTACCTAATTCAAAACAAAAACAAAACAATTTTCATCACCTTTAAGCTAATGTATGTACACTTCTTTCTCAAGTCTTTCCCTATAGTTTATAACCAATCTGATGGACTTGTGACACAATTACAATAGTCACAATCATGCCTCTCTAAACCCAATCATATAGCCCTCTAAAAGTACCTCTTTATCCCTTGTAAGTAAATATAATATTCTTTCTCTCACCTCTCCCTAGAGGCTGCACTTCATCCCACTTTTTTCTTCATTATGACTCTAGTTCTTTGAAATTCCATACTAGTGGTGTCGCCCACCATCTCTTAAAACTTTAAAACTTTCCATACAACCACGTTACTCATCAAATTTTAGAAAGACATGTCCTTAGATACTCTCAAGTAATAATTACTACACAAAATTCGCTTAGCCACAATCTTATTATATCATTGCATCCCGTCACAATGCACTATGAACTCTTACTACCATTACGATCAGTCAGCCTTTACTATCACTATGAAGCCAATATTTCATCAACACGACACCTCAAACTTAGGTAAACTCATCAAATTCAAAGAACTAACCCAATCTTGGTACGCACTCTCTTACTAAAACCTTCAATTTTCTTCACCCAAGTATACTCAATGGAACTTTATTTATCCATAAACATATCATTCCCACTCTCTTATGGTTTAAGATAAAATCATCGGTCCTCGTAGTACCCTTCTTCTTTTAATCAAATAAAACAAGAGTACCCCCACTTATAAACACTAGGACAGATGAAATTTTTTATCAAGACACTCTTAAAATTGAGTTTTAAGCTCTCTCAATTCTAAAAGTCTGGGAATAGACTCAATAAAGGAGAATCGGACCTCAACATCCCTTGTATGAGCCAATTACGTCACACAATCATGTCCTACCAGTTTCCTACCCCATACGAAAGATACAACTTTAGTTGACATACGTGTATCCCCTTTCGACTCTAAACTTTGCTTACCCAGATATCTACAATTACTGACTTAGTGTTACAATTATGTCCGGTATAATCGGGGGACAACCAAGTCATGCCTAAGATTATATTAAGTCAGTCATATCCAACATAACTAAATCAACCAAGTTTAAAAATCCATAACCACAATAGGACAAAAATAATATACATGGGTAGCTACGACTGATTCTTCAACTGTGGTAGAAACATGGATGGGGACATCAAATATATCACAAACTACATCAAATCCCAATTCAATTGAATTGAAATGTATGGATAAGTATAATATGGATCAAACATCACATTAGCCATTCAGTCACAACAATTACAATACTTGTGATCACTATATCCGACCCTCATATGCCCAAGTTCTCCAGAAGTTTAACCCACCGTATAACTTATATTCGATTGTTGAACACTGAGATAAAATTTGGGGTCCATAATTAAGACTAAGAATATAAAGGAGACAT